ATAAGTGGTTGGGGGTCACCACAACATGGGGAACTGTATTATGGGGTCGCGGCATTAGAAAGGTTGAGAACCACTGGACTACAGCATTTCAAGATGCATTTCTGTCTGCGTATGTATGTTGGGGGGGGGAAAGACTGCTACTGCTTCAAATGTCATTCCCCATCTTCTCTCAAACAAAACAAAATTTAGCACAGAAGCTTTATGTTGGAAAGAAATTATGTCTGTCTCTGCATCAACAGAATAACCTTTTTAAAGTGTCTATGGAGATTGTCAGTCCATCCAGATCATGGTTGTCCCAAAAGTGCTTTTTTTTTTCAAAAGCGCAACTGGATAAGAAGACGTTTCGCTTCTCATCCAAGAAGCTTCTTCAGTTCTGACTTAAATCCTTCCATCCGCCGCCATTCAGTCAGAACTGAAGAAGCCTCTTGGATGAGAAGCAAAACGTCTTCAAGGAAAAACAAAGTACAGTTACCTTTTTGAAAAAAGCACCTTTGTGACAACTTTCTTAAAAATTGAATAAAATGGGACCAAATGCAGCCAGAGAAACGAACAAAAGAAAAACAGAAATTTGGATATAGGGTGGATATGGCCAGGGTCTGTGGGGAAAAGAAATCCAGAAGTCCAACTCCAAATCCCATTTGGTGATACTTGAGAATTAGCTGCTCCTTCTCACCTACAGATTTTGTAAATGTTTCTTTGTTCCAAACCAGAAAGGAGAAGATGCAGAAATGGCTTCTGGAATTCTTCCCAACCCCTTAATAATAGTACTGCACAAGGCCACAAAACAAGGAAGGAAGACAGAGAGGGATTTGGAATGGAGGAATCAGCAACCCCCCCAGACTGATTGCATCCCCCATAGGATTTCCTATGGGAGATGCAATCAGTCTGGGGCAGTGTTTCTGAACCTTGACAATTTTAAGGCATGTGGACTTCAACTCCCAGAATTCCACAGCCAGCAATGCTGGCTGTGGAATTCTGGGAGTTGAAGTCCACATGCCTTAAAATTGTCAAGGTTCAGAAACACTGGTCTGGGGGGATTGCTGATTCCTCCATTCCAAATCCCTCTCTGTCTTCCTTCCTTGTTTTGTGGCCTTGTGCAGTACTATTATTAAGGGGTTGGGAAGAATTCCAGAAGCCATTTCTGCATCTTCTCCTTTCTGGTTTGGAACAAAGAAACATTTACAAAATCTGTAGGTGAGAAGGAGCAGCTAATTCTCAAGTATCACCAAATGGGATTTGGAGTTGGACTACCTTTTAAATCAGCTTCCCTTTCTGGATGCATAACTTTTTCCTACATTGCTCTAGAGCAGGGGCAGGCAACCTTGGCTCTTTTATGAGTCATGGACTTCAACTCTCAGAATTCCTGAGCCAGCGTGGCTGGCTCAGGAATTCTGGGAGTTGACATCCACGAGTCATAAAAGAGCCAAGGTTGCCTGCCCCTGCTCTAGATCCTGAACTCAAGAGTATGGTTTCCATAGCATCACTACATTCAGACCAAGAGTTATTTGCCGAAGAATAGAACATCACTGGTACTCCATGTACACGAGCCATAGTATTGATGGCAGTGATTGTATATTTGATTGAGAGGATAATATTTTTCATAGTTAGTCAGAAGGATCTATTTCAGTAGGATCTATTCTCAACTAACAGTTTTTAGGACCACAATGTCAGTCTTTCTAGAGGGTGATCATAAAATATTAATCATAATCTGATACAGTACCTAGATTAAAATCTCTCTTTAGCTTTGAATAATTCACTTTCTTGGTGTGTTAAACCGCTTTCTCTCAACCTGTTCCCTTCATTTCTGTCTGCACTACCACTTGACTTTTGTTTTTTTAAGTGTCTTTTAATAAGTATACTTACAAACAGAGCAGTAGGTTGTTGCCATGCACTATATTTATTTGGCAAAATCTATGAGGCTCCTAGGCCTTTATATAAATGTCATGTCCGAGCCGAGGTGGCGCAGCAGTTAGGGTGCAGTACTGCAGGCCACTTTAGCTGACTGTGTTCAGCAGGTCAGCGGTTCAAATCTCACCGGCTCAAGGTTGACTCAGCCTTCTATCCTTCCGGGGTAGGTAAAATGAGGACCCAGATTGTTGGGGGCAATGTAAATATATGTATACATTGCTTACTGGTGTACATCGCTTAGAGAGTGCTTGCACTTAAAGCGGTATATAAGTCTCATAAATAAATAAAATAAATAAAATAAAATGTCCAAAGTACTGGGCTAGAAAGTGAGAGATCATGAGTTCAAGTTCCACCTTAGCCAAGAAAGCCAGCTGGATGACTTTGGGCCAATCTCTCAGCCCAACTCACTTCACAGGGTTGTTGTTGTGTGGAAAATGGGAGGAGGAAGGTGTGTTGGATATGTTTGCCACCTTGAGTTGTTTGTAAAAACAATAAAGGCAAGATACAAATAAAAAAAAATGAATTAAAGCCACTTACATGTAAAAAAGTTGGGTGAGGTAGGAGACAGTGAAGACTGAGCAATGTATTCCTTAACAGTCAAGCAAGGACATAAGGAAAGCCTCTTTTGCGTATGTTCCCTGCCTCTCACACCCCCCGCCCCAATCTCCACCCCCCCCACTTTGAATGCTTCAGAAAACATGAGAATCACAAGATGGTTGCCCTTTTCTTAGCTGCACCTGACAGATGATCCGGGCAAATGTTCAGAAGAGAGGAAATGGAAGGCTTTCACAGTTGAATTTGGCAGGGGACTCTTTAAGGAAGGATTTGTGGGCAAAGGAGGAGGTGATTAGGGGATGGGCATGAAGCAGTTCCAAATTTTATTGCTAAATAAATATTCCCTCCTCATCATGTAAGCCCGATGTGTTTATCCTTCCAGTACGTCAGCATATGCTGATGCTTAAAATGGCATAATTGTGAAGCAGATATCAAACGCATGGCAAGCTAAAACATGGTATTCACCTGTATTGGCCATTTTTTTTTAACCAAACTACCTTTTTTAGGGATAATTGAAATTCGGTAGTCATTGGAGCCCAAGTTGAAAGAACCACCTATTTGTTCATTTCTGCATCATGCAAATTCATCTGGTGTGCCTCTTAAATAAACTCTGAGAACAGGTAGAATACACCAAAGTCTAGCAAACAAATAATCCATCTTGATAAGGTAGCTGCAGGATGCTTGAAACCTTCTAAATGCTGGCAGAATATGTAAGTGCTACACTGTAAGTTAATAGTGGAAGGAGCATGGGCATCGATGACCAAAAATGTACATGTTGCGCTGCAATTCTACACATACCTATTCAGTTATAAACCATTGTACATATTATATGAGGCTTACTATAAGTTGGGGGTGGTGGTACAAGTTTGCAGGTGGACAGTCTAATCCTAAATTATGTGTACATATGAACGAGAATGATCTGTAACATGGCCAACATAATTCCTGTGTTCTTTTTTTTCATGTCAGCTAGGGTGAGACCTCGCAAGATGGTGGATAAGGGTGAGATGATGATTCAGAGCCTTTGAGAGAAATGAAGGGGTTTGGGTTTCATGTCATCAAGGTTGTCCCCACGATGTCCCAGGATCAATCTATCAATTGCTTACTACCTGTCAGGTGTGAAGAGTCAGGACCACACATTAAATTCTAAAGCTGATTTATTGCTCATGCCTATACATAGGAATCTAGTCAACTAACGTTCAACACTAAATGGACACTAGTAAGGGTTAATTCAAGAGGGGTTGGACTTAGAACGTAATGATTCCAGGCTGATTCCTCTCTTGACTCTGCCCTCAGGCTCTGCCTGTCCTTCTCCTATACTACCAATGAACATACTGGTAGCAATCCTCTCTCCTCAAACATTCTGTAGGTATATTGATAAAATTGAGATAGTTGAGATATTTCATTATACCATCCTAATGTCCTTAGTTGAAGGAATTAAAATAGCTGTTTGTTATAGTGAAATGTGTATATTGGAGTTTTATATACATAGATTGGCCTAATTGTAAAGACTCATAGGAGCAGTCCATTGATCCTTTTTTGCAGAAATATGGTCTTTACTTCAAAAAAGTATGATGTTGTTGAACATCCTTTCCCATTTTCTGTTTCTATATTTTGCTGAAAGTAGCAATCATCCTTGACTATATTTTCTGGCTGGGAATTATAGGACTTGTGGTCAAATAGTATTGGCGTCCAAGTGTTAGGAAAGGCTGCTGCAGAACAGTAATAAATATTCCCCTTTTCTTTGTCAAAATGATCAAGTATTTTTTTTAAAAAAGGATTCTAACTGAGTTTGATCTTATAATATTATCAAATAGCAGGAAGCAAAAACCGATTTCCCATAACTATTTTGGACTGCTGTGTTTCTTATTTCCTCCTCCTTCAGAGAGAACAGATTTGACAGTGATTCTTGATCAGATTACTGGTAGACAGAGCAGCAATTCTTTCTTAGCACTCTGATCTTATCAGGAAGAGATCTAGCCAATTTCTACTATTTTCATTACATGGTTCATTTGACTGCTCCATTTATTTATTTTTAATTACCAGACAAAGACTTTTATGTGGTGCTGTGGTGCTGTGAAAGCAGAGAGAAAAGCTGACTTTAAGTGAGGTTCTTACTACATTTCTTGTGTGGCAAATCACGATAACAAGTTTTGCATTAAAGGATATTATGAATTGGCTGCAGAGCCATCATTTAGTTTGGAGAAACTTCATTTAGCACCATTGTTAGATTGGCACAAATGTGTGGCAGGTATGAATTCAGTGCTGCTTTGGAGATGAGTGGAAGAACCGGCTAGGAAATAAAAAGATAAGCAGTCCTTTGAGATGAGCTTGATCTCCATATAGGCTCTTGGCAACCATCTGGAAATGGTTTCTTACTGCTTCCTTCTGCTGTGTTTATTTCGGACTTCTCAGCTTAGCCTGTAATCCTTAACTTTCCTAATGATCTCCCACTCAGCTACTAAGTAAGTTACACCCCACTTTGCCTTTTCAAAATTAGTCAAAGTCAACTAGGTTACAAAATGGAGAACAGAAGGAAAACAGATATAATATGAATTTAATTAGAAAGGAAGGTCAAACGACTTACTGAGAATAAAGACAAATCAGGAAAGATACATGACAGTCCATAGGGCAGCTTACTCCAAGATGCTATCCTTCAGTGATATAGCCAGCACCAAGTTGAGAAAAGCAATTCTGTAAAAGTAAATACAAACATATTTATAGCCTGGTTCTTAAAGTGGTGTATAATATTGATCTTTTTCACTGTCTTTTTCCTCCTCAACTATTCCCACTTTTCTCATTACAAGGTTTGTATCTCATGGGCATTTGGCATCTTACAGCAGATTATTGCTTCATCATTTTGTAGTGGGTTTGAAAACAAGCCCACAGTGCTCTCATTTTTCTAACCATAGTTGCAGGTTTCCAAATAATTAGCCTGAGGTGAAACTTGTGGCAATAAGCTTCTAAAAATGTATGGACTAAAAGCTAGGTTGTCTTTCTCCTTGAAATGTCTTCTGTTGGTTTGAATTCTTGAATGGCGGGCTCCTTAGTTTTGATAGCTTCTTTGTTAGCTTCTTTGCAAAGCTAGGGGTAAGAGAGAGATAAAAGTGTTGGAATATATACCATCACACTTGTTTATATCTATCTCATAGGAGAAATGAAGCTATTACTCCAGATGATTATCGTCATCAGTTTGTCAATGTCTAAATTGTAGATCTTGTTGTGTGTTCTTTTGCCCAGCAGAGGGTGTGTGCAAATCAAAAGACCCTTGCTGGAAAAGACCATCACACCTGTTGGAAACACGGACTGAGAAATTCTATATCATTGGGTGCTGCAAACAGCCATAAATGCAGGCAGTTGCAGAGTGCCCAAAATGCAGTCACATGATGGGGGAGGGGACTCAGACATGAATTTGAATTTGGGTTGTAAGTAGCTTTTTCAGAGTCCGTTGGAACTTTGAACAATCACAAGTCAAGGACTACTTATGTAAGCCAAATTCCATTCCTTAGTGCAAACTTTGTAAGAGGAAAAAAACTCCACACCATGTTAAATAGTGATTATATCATGAAGAGAGCCAATTTAGGGTAGTGGTAAAGGCATCAGGTTAGAGACTGGAGTTCTACTCCTGCCTTAGTCACAAATCCAGCTGGGTGACCTTGGGCCGGATACTCCCCTGCAATCCTAGGCAAAAAAAAATGCTCATGGCAAGCCACTTCTGAAAATCTTGCCAAGAGAATTGTAAGAACTAGTTTAGGCAGTTGCCAGAGTCAACACTGGTTCAAAGGCAATCCCTGTCCAAAGGAAAAGAAAAGAGAAAAAGAAAGAAAGAAAAGAAAGAAAGAACTCTGAATGTGTTATAGTAATTAAAATGAACTACATATAACAAAATCTAATATCTAGTTAATAGAAAGAATGATCACTATGGTATAAATACCTATATGGAATTTCTATACGTACAAGTCATTAAATTTATCCTATAACAGAGTACTGTATCACCTTATTTTTAGAACCTAAATCCTTTTCAAAAATAGATAACAAATTAATATGCTGGACCCATTCCTCCTCGATACACCCATGTTACACCTATCCTCCGTGAGCTGCACTGGTTGCCTATTGGTTTCCGGGTCCAATTCAAGGTGTTGGTCATTACCTTTAAAGCCCTATATGGCTCAGGGCCAGGCTATTTGCGAGACCGCCTGCTACCTCATAGTTCCCTTTGTCCGGTTAGATCCCACAGGCTGGGCCTCCTTCAGGCCCCGTCGGCCAAGCAGTGCCATTTGGTGGGGCCGCGGAGGAGGGCCTTCTCTGTGATGGCGCCCACGCTTTGGAATCAGCTCCCCCCGGAGATTAGGACCGCTCCCACCCTGTTGGTCTTCCGTAAGCTACTTAAGACCTGGCTTTTCTGGCAGGCCTGGGGTTTATAAAACCTTACCCCTGGATGATTGTTTGTGTATTGTTGTTTTGTTATGTTTTATGTGTTTTTTATTGTTAGCCGCCCAGAGTCCTTCGGGAGTGGGGCGGCTTATAAATTTTAAAAATAAATAAATAAATAAAACAAGGAAGGAGACTTTCTTCTCTAGCTACATAGAATTATCCTCTTCACTGTACCCCACTTAAAAGAGTCAAAGTCTGCGTGAGATAACAAATTGCACGATTTAGAATATAGTTCAGTGTCATATTGAACTCCTTAAATACAATGTTTCTTTCCAAAGTTATATTAATGTAGGTATTAATTTGAAACCAAAACAAACCAAAACAAGACCAAATCATGTGAGTTAAAAGAATATTCAGATTTCTTATATAGACAACCTCAGACATTTGCTGATCATCCCTTTTTAATCATTTTAAAATAATATTTTAAATTTAATTTTTAAATCATGGGGAATGTATTTCACATTTTTAAACACATGGACCTGTTGATTTCCCAAAATTGGATATTGTAATATAAAAAGCAGATATAGAGTAGGGCAGAACAGAGACTTTCCTCTGAATGGGGCCCACTATCATTTTTTCCAAAAACTGCTTTGCTCGGCATGTGGTAGACTTGCAGTGTTTCTCAACCTTGACAATTTTAAGGCATGTGGACTTCAACTCCCAGAATTCCACAGCCAGCAATGCTGGCTGTGGAATTCTGGGAGTTGAAGTCCACATGCCTTAAAATTGTCAAGGTTGAGAAACACTGTGGTAGAGGAAACTGATAGAATTAGGCATCATCAACCACAAATCTCATCCTCACTTGATTGTTTCTCTCTTGATTGTGATGGTAGTCTTAAACCAGTTACTTCAGATTGGACAAAGTATAGCAGATTGGACAAAGTTAGGCAATAGATTGGCTGGCTGGTGAATTCTGGGAGTTGAAGTCCACATGCCTGAAAGTTGCCACAGTTGGGAAAACCTGAAATAGGGAAAGAAGAGACCAAGGATTCTGAGTTAGTGCAACACAGTTTGCTTATTCCTTGCAGCCCAGAAGAAACTTATCTTGGGTTGGCACAGAGACCCAACAGTCTGGCTGTGCGGGAGAGAGCAGGAAGAAAGGGAAGGAGTTCCTGTTTAAGAGGCACTGTAGCCCGATATGGAAAAACCCCTTATTTTTAATCCCTCCTTCCCAATAGTTGATCTACCACTGTAAGCTTAAAAATGAAATAAAATGGATCTGACTTGTATTACCAACTAGCAATGGGGCTGAATTGTCCTTGCAGGCACAACCTTGTGTAGAAAGATTTTTCAGAATGGCATGGAAATCCAGAAAGCAAATGGGAGCTGCTAAGAGGCTAGAAAATGCTCAGACTTTCATATCTTCATGGCCGGTATCATTGATCTGATACAGATGACTTGGCTGTCTTAGGGACAAATGCATCATCCAGACAAATGGCTTTAGTGGATTATTTGTATTCTCTATAAAGCTGATTGAGGAGTCACCTAAAAAATGGTTGGAAGAACCTGCAATGACAGATCTTATTTTGCTTTATCTGTTACTACTGGGTGGATTTTGAATCTTATAATTTCCTACATTTTTTCTTATCAACGCAATGTCGAATCCTTAGAGGTACATTCAGAGGAACCAAAGGACATGTCATGGCCCAGTGGATTGGCCAAATGGCATCTTTCCTGGGCTATTGAGTTTAGGATTTTGGCAACTGCTCCCCAGTATTGCTCCTGGTCCTGATTAGAAGAATTCAAGTACCATCCTGTGGCACAATGGTCATCCACAACCAACTATTATAATGCTATACAGGCAGTCCTCAACCTACGACCACAATTGAGCCCAAAATTTATGTTGCTAAATGAGACATTTGTTAATTGAGTTGTCCCCCATTTTATGACCTTTCTTCCTACAGTAGTTAAGTGAATCACTCCATAAGTTAAGTTAGTAACACAATTGTTAAGTGAATTTGTCTTCCCCACTGGCTTTGCTTGTCAGAAGGTTGCAAAGGTGATCCCATGAGCCCGGGACACTCCAACCATCATTAATATGAGTTTGTTGTCAAGTGTCGGAATTTGATCATGTGACCATGGGGATGCTACAATAGTCACATGTGTGACAAATCATAAGTCGCTTTTTTCAGTGCTGTTGTAATTTCAGTCACTAAACAAACAGTTGTAAGTTGAGAACTACCTGTACATATAGATACAACTCCAACCCACCTGTGGCACAGGGTGGGTAACTCCCTCTCTGTCAAAAAGCTGCAAATTCTGACTAGTTGGCAGGCTGGATTAGACCTCCAGTGATGTGCTGACATCATCAAATAAAGCGGGCCTAACATTTTCTTTTCACCATTGTGAACACTTAAAAGGTAGAAATTAGAACAATTCATCTCTCAGAGGACCTCTGCTCCAATTTTCATTTGTATTTGACTTTAACTCAAAAATTGTACTGATAAAATTTAGTTATTTTGCTGATCAATGTGGCACAGTTTGGGAGTTTTTATTAAATGGAGGGTCTGAAGCAATGTAACTTCTCAGAGGCTTTCTGTTTTCATTCCAGCCCTGACCCTGGCACCAAAGAGAGAGAGAAAATGTGCTGTCAAAATGTGGCCATTTTGTGAATAGATTTCAGCAGTGCAGTCCCCAGAGAAACAGATAGGATGCTGGGAACAGTTTCAGGCTTCTCCTCTGTGTTATAGAATTATTTAGAATCATGTAGGACTCTCTTAAAAGTAAAAATGGAGGAAAGCAGCTCAATTATTACAATTAATACATTGATTATATCAATGTACTCCTTTAGATTATGAGGTCACTTACAGCTGTAAGGATGTTTTTTCTCGTGACACACTCAGTCACATGGATCTTCAAAATAAGGAGTTGCCCCTTTTGTCTGCAAAACCAGTTTGGTTAGAATGAAACTAAGTGAGAGACATATGGATGAGTCAGTCACACTTGGCATTTGTAATAATTCAGACTGTGGCACAGGCATTAGCAGTCTTCTACACATTTCTTTGAAAATAAATTCTAATGTGTTCAGTGGAATGTGCCGAGAATAACCGTTCAGAGGATTGCAACCTCTTGTTCCTTCTTCCTTGTATTTGCAGTTCACAGTCTTCTGATCATTGCTTTGAGTAGCTGATCTTTGTGCATTGTTCCCTCCTTTCCCATTTCCATTTGAAATGTAATTTTTTTTTAAAAGGTAAAAGTTTCCCTGTCCAGTTGTGTCCAACCCTATGGCACAGTGCTCGTCTCTGTTTCATAGCTGAGGGAGCTAGCATTGTCCGAAGACAGTTTCTGTGATCATGTGATACGCATGGCTATATGCCAAAAGTGCATGGAACACTGTTACCTTCCCATCGAAGTGGTACCCATTAATCTACTCACATTTGCATGCTTTCAAACTTCTAGGTGTTCAGCACAGGTTTTATTAGATTGCTCTCTCTTAATACGTTTTTTGGGTCATCTGTTAACTTATGGCATTTTCCAGCTAAAGAACAAGTAAAAATATTTCCACATGCAAAGCAGTCTCTTCTTACTTGCCTAGGCTTACAGGTAGAAGGCCTAACACAAAAGAAAAATGGGATGATGAGGGAAGAGAAAAAAAAAGTCAAATTCTGCCATAGTTATAATACAGCTATCAGCATCCATCTGGAATAAAAATAGTTAAAGAGCCATATGAGCTATCACCTTAGCATTCAATGAAATGACCTGTTATCTTCCCAGTTTCCTCTCTAAAGATCTACAATCTTATGAAATGGCTGCTGCTCTTCAAACTGAACCACTAAAAATCCTTGCCTATCATGGATCTCTCTGTGCTGAATTCTTTTCTGCTGCTTTGAATCTCTATGCCTTAATAAAAAAAGAAAAATGCCTGATAGGATGCAATTCCAATTATTTGGGAGACAAGCAACAGGAAACTGATAGCTAACCACAATATGTTTAATTAGCTAAAGCTAGTTAGCTTTCATAACTTTGCCCTTCTTAGATAATGAAGATGTATGAGAAGCTGCAGTTTAACCAGCTAGTAATCTTTTTTTTCCTTATAAGGCACCTGTGTGTGCTTTAATTCTAGTCTAATTGCAACATGCTCTAGCCAATATAATCTCCAAAATGAATAAGATTTATAACTCCCACCACCAAAGCCAGGCAACCCAGTTCTGTTCAGGGTTTACACCAGAGAAGAAGCTTGTTTGAATTCAGCAAGGTTTAATCTCTGGAAAATATATGGCAGTTTTAATCATAACACATCAAATGTGTTTACTCAGAAATCAATCTTAGGGAGTTTGGCATGACCTACTGTGTAGGATGTGTGCATAGGATTATCTGTGTATATATGCAATCCTAACTGATCGGTTTGCTGAATAAAGCTTGCAACCTTTACTTCAATCAAGAGTGAGAAACAGCCAGGCCCAAGGGGTGGATTCTGGCCTAGACTCTCTCCCATGGGCTGAACGTCATTTAAATTGGGGCAGGAGCCAAGCCCTGCCTCGCAGGAATGAGGCATCAGGGCTTTGAAGCAACTTTCTTAGTTCCTTGAAACAGGCCTTGTAGTTCTTCCTTGCCCTGCAGGGAGGAGCACCTTTAAAGGCTGGGTCCAAAGCAGTTGGCTTCTACTGCCAGAGTCCCTACTACTGGTAGACCGAGTACAAGATCAGCTGTCTGCACTTTCTTCCAGGGATAAAAGGCAGGTGTTTTGGAGCTGAGCTCCCCTCAGGCCCTCCAGCTTGGCCCAGATTGTGAGGAAGACAAGGGAGGGGCCATGCGTCACCCAGAAGTTTCCCATAAACTGTGTTTATTCACTCACTCTCTTTTCATAGATGACAACATTAGTCTGAGTGTGGGTTATGTGAAAAGAATCTTCATAATTAAAGTTTATTTCGACAGGTCATGGCACTGGATTGTCAAATATCTTGCAAGCATCATTTTTTTTATAGGCTGTCCATCTTTCTTACCGGGAAACTGCTTGCCTGTATCTGGAAGACTCCAAATAGGTTTCCTCGCTATGAACAACAACCTTTGAAACCTAGTTCAGTGGATAATTTTCTTTCAATCATATGTAGCTGCTCTCCCAAAAAAAAAAAACCCTCAGTTTTACCAAGCTTTAATTGCATTGGCAAGAGAATTTTTCTGGTTGGTTGATTGTCTGTCTATATATTTGTCTATCTGTCACCTGTCTATTATCTGTCCCCTTGTTTACCATGGGGATAAAACATTTTCCTCAAAGTTAAGGTAGTTAATTTTTACTGAATATACTTGATTATACTTGTAACTTAACAGAACTGTCCCAAGTTCATTATCTTTTTCTTTGAACATTTAACCTCTAATAAATCCCTCATGAGCTTCTTTTGTTTTCAGCTTTGGCCTCACGATCTTTTCCCATCAAATTTCCCTCAAACTAGAAAGTTTCCTGTGCTCCCTTCAAGAACAACCAATTCAAATGCTTATATTCCAATTGTCTGACAGATTTTTTCATAGTTTAAAAATCTCACCAATTACATGAGCTGTCTAACTGCTAATAGAGCATTGACTTTACCTTTTGACCAATCCAAATTGACTTTTACAATAGGTCAACCATTTTCCAAGTTCCAGTTGGATTTTCTTTTCCTAACAATCCTAATTAAGCCACCCATATGCCTCCTGTCTAATGCAGACTAACAAAAATAGATTTCTGGTTCTCCGTCTACATTAAAATTCCTCTCAAAGGTTACTTATGGAATACAGTGATTGTTAATGAATATATTCTTTCATGTTTCCCTTTGGCTGCTGCTAAAAAAAATTGTAGCCTAGATTGTATCAACTACTTCCTAGATCTGCTAAGTGTACAAAATATCTCCCATGGAATTATCCACACTAGATCTGCTGACATGATATTTCTAGGCAATTTGATAGAGGTACAGGAGTATAATTCCCATTTATTAAAACTCATTGAATGAATAATTCTCATCATTCTTAAGTGTGGGAAAAATATTATAAAGCGAACACACCCACTTACCTAGGCAGACTTATGGCATATTAATTTACCTCTGTTAATTCCTGAATAATGCTCTTGATATTTTTCTCTTGGTGTTACAGATGCTGTTCTTCCATTAGGTTTTCACAGAATGCTGTGTATCTATGACTGTTTTTTTCTGGTAAACCACTGTCCCTGTTTTACATATTACCATCTTGTGAGAGATGCTTTAAAATTTTGGTAGATCTAATTTCTTTTAGTTCAGCTACTTTCTCAAAAGTGCTACAGGAACTTTCTGTGAGCTATATTGACAGGGAAGGCAGCTCCAGAAATTGATCAATCAGTCAAACGTGTAATTATAGTCATAAACCTGCATAAATTGAAATCCTAGTACAGGTAATGTACAGCAGAAGGGCTCACATTTAGGGAAAGCATCTCTAAAGTTAAATCTGGATTGTGCATAGGTGTCCTTTCCAAATTCTCCACACATTTTGTGCAGTAAAGTGATGGTGATGCTGGGGGTTAACTTGAATGATGTTTTTTTCTCCTTCTTGAAGAGGAATAGGAGTCATTCAGTATTTCTTTATGGGAGGATTTATCAAGAACAGCGAGAGGGGCAAGCTTTGTTTAGTGTTTATTGGCTGTTCTTAAAGTAAAAATGACAGTCGAACAACAGACTGATAGTTTTACCCCCTTTTTTGTTTGCTTTCTCATATTCGACTTGACCTCCCTCCAGTGTCCCAAGAGAAAAATAAATGAGTGTGTAATGAGACAAATTTATGTTCATCTCTGCAGAAAATACTTGCAGGCATCTTAAGATATTTTGAACTCTTTAATTTTGTTTTTGAAATGTAGTATCTCTGGTCACAGTGTGATAGAGTAGTGTATAAGCTTCTCCAAGGTCTCCTCTTTTCTTATTCTGTGAAGGATAATGATGCCATGCATGTAGCAGTTCTTATGTGCGTGCATTGAGCAATTTTCCAATAATAAATGCCCTGTGGATATCTGAGTTTCTCAAGAATTGTCAGATCTGTCTGCACAAGTAGGACCTCAAAATGCATCAGCATGTACACTTGTATATAGTCTCCCCCTTCCTAAATCCGCATTTGAGGAGCAAATGATAGAAAATGTTTATCAAAACCCACAAGCCAATTTTCATATATCTAAGAATGCGGAATAGTCCTCTAAAACCAGAAAGACTATCATAATAGGAATCTTGCTGTACAGGCTGTACAACTTCACCAGCTGCATGATTCTTCAGCAACTTTTGGGTGGGAAATACCTAGCATAATTACCTAGCTTTTTTTTTTTCCTTCAAAACACAGATTCAAGATTCTTTCCCCACTCAAAAGCATCCATTTTCTTAATTTCGCTTTAAAAAAAAAAAAGCTATGAGGCTATTCACGTGACTCAAAATACTCCTATCATTGCATGTTTTGTTAATCCAATTTTAAAAACAGAAACTTATTTTAGACCAGTGGTTCTCAACCTTTTTAATGCCGCGACCCCCAACCGGTTGTAAGTCGAGGACTACTCAACTGGTGCAGCACCATTTGCAGAATGAGACTTTTGGCGGGCTCATCAGGGCAGAGAGAGCCTGGACAATTCCTATTGGCTTTTGAAAGCCAATAGAATTAGACTCTGTTCAAGAGAGTCTATTCTATTGGCTTTCAAAAGCCAATAGAATAAAAGGGAGTAGCACAGCTAAGGAAAAGGAGAAAAAAATGGCGGACAGCGTTGTTTGGCGACCCCCGTGAAATGGTTGTTCGACCCCAAATGGGGTCCCGACCCACAGGTTGAGAACCACTGTTTTAGACGGCTTTCTCAAAGTTTGCTGAAACACCTCTCTTATCCTCGCTTTTTGTAAACCACCAAAATGACCAGGAAAAGAGCTTATAGAGTAATCACTACAAAATGTAGCATTTATAGTTGGTTTCTATTTGCAGCAAAGGGAAGGCCTCGAAATGATTTGTCGCTCTGATGTTAACAAGACAGGTGGCCTTGCTTTCAGGCCTAGTAAGCGAGTGGACTGAAACATATTTGGTTGTTTCAAAGTCTGCAACGAGGCCTTTCAGAGGGAGGCAAGGAGGAAAGGTTGCTTTGAGCAACAGGTTTATAGAATACTAGCTGTTCCCGGCCACGCGTTGCTGTGGCTCAGTCTGGTTAAATGGAAAAGAAAGAAAAGAGAAAGCGCACGTTTGTAATATGTTTAATTTCACAATGCTTGTGGGTATACAATATTTTTTGTTGTTCCATTGTCTGCGCAGATATAGAGATTGTCTGAAATCGTAGTATGTGTTGCCTTTACGTCCAACAGATAGCGCTGTTTTTCACAAAAAGCATATCACAGGTGTGACATCTATATGATATAAGTATATAAAAACATGCGCGTATTTGAATGCAATGCTATGTCAAAATTTTAAAGCAATCGGTGAAGAACCTTCGGAGATTTAAGATTTTGAACAAATGAACATTTACATTTTTATTTATATAGATGGAGCATTCTGTTGACTATGTGGCTGTCATTGCATTCAAACTGGTAGTTTATTTTCTTTACAATGCCTTTTATGCCTTGAGTGATTCAAAACCTTGTCTCCCAGCCCAGCTTATTTAAGCTCAAAGAACCTGATATCGATTTTAATATGTAATAATCCCCCGGATATTAGATCTGTTTTGTTTTTTCACTCAGTGCACGTGAATGATGATTGGAAATAAGTTCTCAAGAGGATGTGGCTTCTAAGGAAAAATGCATTTGCCCGAGTTGTTAGATATTACTATTGTGTAGCAGGGTAGTGTGGTAGTTAAGAGTTGATACTGACTTGATAGCACATAATCAGTTAATCAGTGGGGTAATAATAACATAGGGAGCGTGATGGCTCAGCGGTTAAAGATACTGAGCTTGTCAGCTGGAAAGCTAATAGCCTGGGTTTGAGATCCAAGTGCTGTGCAATGGGGTGAGCTCCCATCCTTGCACCAGCTCCTGTCCACCTAGCAGTTCAAAAGCATACAAATGCAAGTAGATTAATAGGTACCACTTTGATGGGAACATAACAGCATTCTGTGTGCCCTAGCATATAGTCATGCTAGCTAAATGACCATGGAAGCCTCTTCGGATAATGCTGGCTCCCTTGGCTAAGAAATGGAGGTGAGCAACGCCCTCTAGAGTCAGAAACGACTGGACGGGGGAAACCTTTACCTTTTCTACACCACATATATTTTTACGATTTTTCTCATTTGCAATATAGACTGTTTTTTAGAGCAGGGATTATTAAAAAGAACTTGGAGACATTCCATTTTTTCCTCTGGTTCATACAGCTAAAAGCTTTTATGGTGTGACATACTTTTTACACAGAAGTGAATTAGGAAATCTGTTTTGTGTTGCAGTGTCTGGTTTGTTCCACTAAGAGGCTCACATCCCCCATACATCCGTTCTAACTTTAGTTTTTCTTTTGAAGGAAAGCAGCAATGAAGTATATTACATTATACGTTACTATTATTGGGAGGACATTGCTTAATATTTGCTGTTGAATGACCATTGCGTTTATATAGGGTGTAAAGAAACTACTGTCCTGAATCCTTGAAAATATGCGAAGGAAGTGCGTTTCAAAGAATGATTTTTTAAAATGTACCTTGAAGATTTAAAAGCAGTGGGTGAGTCCATGAGATACAAGTATCTTGCACTGCCAGTTCTCTGCTTTTCTAGATTTCACACTTTTACTAAAAATAAACGTGAGGAGAAAAACCGTTGAACATGTTCAGTTGTGCAAGGTTTACTTGTTTCTTATGTGCATAAACCACAGACAACTATAGAGTAATAGACAGAAATCTAAGCTGGTTCCCATGTTTAATTATTTGTATCCTATCCTTTTATCTCTTTTATTTGTTTTCTTTTCCTATTTTCCTATTTTTTCTAAAGTGTCTAATATATAAATATATATGGAAAGAGCACGGACCAAAAAAATCTAAGTTGGTGATACATATTGTTAGATTCAGCAAGACACTAATCTCAGTTATTTTTCTGAATGCCAGATGAGCATTTGTTCAGTAACTGAGAACTATGTTTGTAAAATCTATAAGTGTACCTTCTGTGGGTTTAATATGTCCAATGCTGCTTTGGGATAAAATCCTGAAAACCCTTAGATCCTTGGTCTGCAATGTACAGATAACTAGACCTAAATATATTTATTTAATGTTTTTCACAAACCTGGGCAATTTATTTGAAGCAGAGCCACAGACAGTGAGGTGGAATTCCTGATGTTGAAATGCACAGTGTTCAGGCCTGACTGAGTTATTTTGGCCTCTGAGGTTCAAAATTTCACAAAAAAACTTTTCCTGGGAGTGTAAATAGAGCAACAGTAATCAATAACCTTGGCTGCAGGTTTGTGAGAGCCAAATCACTTGCCAAAACCTCTCTCTGAGGAACAGAATACTATCTGTGTGCAGCTCAGAAACTAGACTAGAATAGAATAGAATAGAATAGAATAGAATAGAATAGAATAGAATAGAATAGAATAGAATAGAATAGAATAGAATAGAATAGAATAGAATTCTTTATTGGCCAATGTGATTGGACATGCAAGGAATTTTTCTCTGGTGCATAAGCTCAATTTTGGCCTCAGTTGTGGTCATAAGTTGAGGACTACCTGTATTGGACAGTAGAGCAGTGGACTGAACCAAAATGTCAAGAAAGGACACATCACTAATAGGGATGTTACTACTCTATAGTTAGAGATGGGCCATGGTCTTGGATTCTGGTTAGTAATGGATGAAGATGTCTCTTTGTCCTGATATATGTATGATTACATTCAGTATATATTGGAGGGAAGCGATGTAACACAATGGAAAATACTGAACTAATTTTCAGATCAACTTTAGATTTAGTTTATGCTTGGTTTGCCCTACAGGTCTTCATTGCTGTGAACTGCCTTAGTACAGATTTCTCCTCACAGAAAGGTGTCAAAGGCCTCCCTCTGAATCTTCAGATTGACACCTACAGCTACAACAACAGAAGCAACAAACCCATCCACAGAGCTTACTGCCAGATTAAAGTCTTCTGTGACAAGGTAAAGCTGCCCAAGTCCTTCTTGAATCTTTTGCTTCGGCCAAACATTTAATCTAGCCACTTAGGGGTACCAAGACATGCAAAGAAAAAAAAAAAAATCCAGCAAGAGGATCGGCTATCTTTTGGTTCATTAGGATTGGTTAAAGAGAGGGTTATTCCTTGTCATAAGGAGATGACGGGTGAAAAGATGCCAAGAGATGAGCATCAAAGTAACAGTGGTCCGCCATGTGCAACCATTCATTGAGTGATCATTCAAAGTTACAACAGCACTGAAAAAAGTGACATATGAACATTTTTCACACTTACAACCATGGCAGCATCTCCATTGTCATGTGATCAAAACTCAGACATTTGGCAACTGACTCGTATTTATGACAGTTGCCGTGTCCCAGGATCATATGATCAGCTTCCGACAAGCAAAGTGAATGGGGAAGCCAGATTCACTTAACAACCCTGTTACTAACTTAACAACTGTAGTGATTCACTTAACAACTTTGGCAAGAAAGGTTGTAAAACTGAGCAAAATTCACTTAACTGTCCCACTTAGCAACATACATTTTGGGCTCAATTGTGGCTGTAAGTTCAGAACTACTTGTATCTATGTATGTAGGTAGGTAGATAGGTATGATGTATTGTATATGTTTGTTCCACAGAGCACCCCTTGAGAGAGTTGAAATGCAAACAGATTTTTTTTTCAGCCCTTCAATTCCCGATTTGATTAACTGCATTCTACCTTTCATACAGTTAGTAGCCAAAGGCAGATTCCATCAGTTCTCCCCCCCCACCCCAATTTTCTCTCCTGCTTTGTTTATTATTTTGCACAGTGAAGAATCCTGGAGAACTAAAAGCTCTGCACACTATTTTATGACCTTGAATTAGTCCAAAATTACTATATATTCCTAACATAGTTTTGGGAATCTTTCTTATAGTTGTGATGATTCTTTTCCTACTAGTATTCCTACTATTACAGTGCACTTTCTGTTTCCAGTAGAAAAATACATAAACTGGACTTCCATTCTTTATACACACAAGATATTTAATAAATTTGAGTAACAGCCAACATGGATTTTGCTACTCCCTCTTAGATTCTACTTGTTAAATTTCATTTTATAATTGATAGCATTTGGATTGTATTTTTATTTATTTCAGAAATCCTGCCTAGAAGATTTGTGCCCTTAAAATTGTGGCGATTTTAGTCCTGCTGATCTTTATTAAATAAACTGATTACATGACACAATTCTTGATCCAGGGAAACTCTAAACCCCGGTTATTTTCAGCTTTTAAGAACATAACACCGTACTTCATCTAGTCTGCCAACTTTGGCCTACTTGGTTTTTTTCCCAATGACTTTTGGCATTTCCACAACATTTGTTATCAAGTGGTCACTCTGTCCTGTAAGTTCTGCCTCCATCAACAAAAAAGTAATGCCAAATTTAAGTGAGACATGGGGGAATAAGGCTTATCTGTTTAATCTCTGTTTAAAACTGCTTTAATCAAGA